AATAATAATAATAATAATAATAATAATTGTTGTTGTTGTTGTTGTTATCCCATCCCCTGCTAAAAAAAGTGAGAATTCCTTCACTCCAGTCTGTGCTTTTCAGCTACTGACTGGAAAATCGCAAGTAAATCTCCTATTCCTGATAAATCTTCCACCCCATGGCATTTAACTGAGGTCTGGAAAACAGTTCATCAGCAATGAAGGTGGTTCCTGTGGACCCCTGTTCCTGGTACTCAGCTGTTTTCTAGCTCTCAACTATGCAGCAGTAGTTTAAATCTTCGTACTCATGTCCTAACCCCTCCCCAGCTGAGCAGTATGTATGGCCAGGATAACTATAGGAGAAGCTTAAACCTCCCCACCCTGTGGTGCTTTCTGCACCCTACACTTCTCATCTCCAAACTAGAAAACAGCTGAGCATGGGGGGGGGGAGGGGAACAGTTATAGTTTCCAAATGTTTACAGCTATTTTTGAGCCCATAGCTCACCAGCATGGAGGATTGCTGAGAAAGCTCAAGGAAAGTGAAATTTAACTCTACTTGCTGATCAGCTGAGAGATAAAAACAGCTGCATAGTTCTGACAGTGGGATTATTTTTTTCTTAAAAAAAGAAATGGTTTAAAGATATAACATACAGGTCTCAGGGTGTAGTTACTCATGCGAGGGAGAAAAATGAGGGCATTGTGCCTTGAAATAAGAATTCTACCATCAAAATAAGGTTTTCCTTCAATCCCCAGGTTTTTAGCACTGCAGAAAGCAAGATGCTGGAAATTGTTTACATATAGAACTCATAAATTTACCATGTTTGCATTTCCTTGGTAACTTTGCATGCTCCTTGTTCTTTCGTTGCCTAAACTGTATTTCTGAATGCTCAAAAGAAGTTTTAAATTACTGCAATGCTAGAAATTTGGGAATTGAAGGCAAAATTTCATTTGGTAGTGTTACAATACTTATGGGGGTGCGAATGCCCACATTTTAATTCCTCCCTCCATTTCTACATGCTCAATACAGCCACGGCTGTCACTTGCCATGGCTGTCACCCTTTCCCAAGCCAGCTCTCTGAGGAGGTCCTCCTTGG